TTGATGATTGGGTTTCCGTCATACAATGTTCCAACACCCCTCCCTTCACCAGTGTATATTACACACCACCCTCATGCCATCCCCCCACCTCCCCACCTTTGCACCTTTGTCTTGATATCTGGCACTTTTCTCTCTCTCTCTCTCTCTCTCTCTCTCTCTCTCTCTCTCTCTCTCTCTTTTCAGCGTTATGTTTTGTAATACAGCTACTGAAAGGTGATTGCATATAGCTCTTTATCTCCTTTCAGCGTTCACTTCACTTCTTGTATAGACTGATCATTTCCAGCAACTATTGTCATAGTAGTCCGTTCTCTCTCTATTCTAACTTCCTTCTACACCTCCCCATACACACACACACACACACACACACACACACACACACCAAGCTTCTAACCATGGACCAATCCTTCTGGCCCTTGTTTCCTCCTTGGATATTAGGCTCATAGTATGTTTTTTAACATCCTACAAATGAGTCAGAAGGAGAGAGACAAACATAGATTCTCTCCTGACTCATTTAATTTAGCACAATACTTTCCCTGTCTATCCTTTTATAAGTAAGTTTCATGGGTTAATTTTTATTGTGGCTGCATAGTATTCCATTGTATAGATGCACCATAATTTCTTTATCCATATATCTGTTCTAGGGCACTCAGATTCTTTCCAGATTCTGGCTGTTGTGAATACTGCTGCAATGAACATAGAAGTGCAGATGTCATTTCTTCTGTGCATTTTTGGGTCCCCAGAGTATATTCCCAGAAGTGGTATTGTTGGGTCAAATGGGAACAGCTCAATTTCTAGTTTTTTTTGAAAATTGTTTTCCAAAAACACTGGATCAGGCAGCATTCTCGCTAAGAATGAATGAGAGTTCCCTTCTTTCTGCATCCAGGCCAGCACTGGTTGCTCTGTTCTTTTTGATGTATGCCAGTCTCTGTGATGTGAGATGATATCTCATTGTTTTAATTTGCATAACTCTCATGATGAGTGATGTAGAGCATTTTAAATGTAATTTTTGGTCATTTGAATTTCTTCTTTGAGGAAGTTTCTGTAAATTTTTTCTTCCCATTTTCAGATGGGGTTGGAATTTTTTCTTGTAAAGTTTAATCTGTGCTTTATGTATCTTTTTGTTTGCTTGTTTGTTTTTTGTTTTTTGCTTTTTGGGTCACACCCAGTGATGCACAGGGGTTACTCCTGGCTCATGCACTCAGGAATTACTACTGGCGGTGCTCAGGGGACCATATTGGATGCTGGGAATCAAACCCAGGTTGGCCGCATGCAAGGCAAACGCCTTCCCCACTGTGCTACGCTCCAGCCCCTCCTTATACATCTTTGATGTTAACCCCTTATCAGGTGGATATAGGGTTAAATATTTTTCCATTCTGTGGGCTTTCTTTGTATCTTAGTTTATCATTTCTTAGAGGTGCAAAAGCTTCTTAGTTTAATTTAGTCTCATTTGTTTGTCTTTGCTTCCACTTGTTTGATCAGTGATAGTGGTATTTTATCTTTTAAGATGCCTTTGGCTTCAATGTTATGGAGGATTCTACCTGCTACATTTTTCTCCATGCTCCTTATGAATTCAGGCCTGATCTTTATTCTATTTGGATCTGACTTTTGTGCATGATGTTACATAGAGGTCTGAATTTATGTTTTTTTTTTTCATGTAGCGCCCAGTTTTCTCAGCACCACTTACTGGAGAGCCTTTCCTTGCTCAACTTCATGTTTATTGCTCCTTTGGATTATCTATTTAAGGGAAGATGTAAGAATATTCAAGTTACATCGAAAATGTCAACCTGAAGAAAAGTCTTACCTCCAAGTTACATCTTTCACTCCTAGCCCACACTCCTTGATGCTCAGATAACCACACTTGCTGCTCTCTGACCAGGCATGAGAGCTGTTCAGCATCCACTCCAGAGTCTGGTTGAAGATGGCCCCAGCCTGCTGGCCCCCAAGAAAAATCTTCCTGCCTAGTCATAGTCTTTTGCTCCTAGCAGGCGCTGCTTTGCTGTTCCTACTGGCTATGTTTCAAAACTGTTATGCACCTGAACAAATTCTTCTCCATTCTTACATTATTTTACTCCCATCTAAAACATTTCATAACCCTTATTATTCTTCTTTTCATAACTTAGGCTATGTATGTTTTGAAGCTGTGTGATGATGAAAGTTACATAACATTTTTCTATCTCTTGTTTCTTTCATTCTCCTCAAAAATTAGGAAGTGAGCTCTCATATTACTCAGGAGTTCCTCCTGAGACTATAACCCAAGGGACCTTAAGTACAAATCAGAAAAGACATCTGAGCTCTTATATTTATTACAGAACTGAATACAATGATCTATATATGGACACAAACAAAATATCCATGATTAGATGACTGGATAAGGAAACTTTGGTGCATAAATACAATAGAATACTATGCATCCTTAAAAAAAGATAAAAGTCATGTGATTTTCTGAAAGCTGGATGGGTCTGGAAAGTATAATGTTGAGTCAAATCAGCTGTAAGGAAAGGAAAAGACTCAGAATGATCTCTCATATGTGTGATATAAAGAAACCTTATAAGGGAATACCCAGTGCCCAGTGGCAACAGAAATGAAGAGGAGGAGAACTGATCTTCTTCAGTAGGAAGCTTGTCACTGTGGCAGGACAGAAGGTGATAAGTTAGGAAAGGGAACTCTAAAACAATGGGAGAGGGGAAATGTTCCTGCCACAGAGGCAGGCTGAGAGGTGGGAGGAAAATGAGGACATTGGTGAAGAGATGTGGGCACCAGTGAAGGAACAGGTGTTGAAACAATGTAAATAATAAATATCTTTGTAACTTTGTAATTAATTCAATGACTCAATAGGAAAAAAAATCCCAAGGAAGTAAAATTCATCCAATTTCTAGGGATGGTACTTTAGTTAGCATCCTTTAGGCAAAGAAAGAAAAAGAGAAATAAAGAAATCTAATGGCTTTCTGTTATTGATTTTTAACAGAAAAAATTACTGTCACTTTATTGTAATAGGTTTATTATTTCTCAAAGTTTATTGATGAAATCTTCAGGGGGTTCTATATGTATCATGTCATCTGTGAATAGCAATCATTTGACTTATTTTTTCTCTAATTTGAATCCTTTTACTATCTCTTTCTTACTTAATTGCTGTGGCAAAGAGCTCCAATACTATAGTGAATAATGATGAGACTGTACATCTTTTTATTGTAACTAATCCTAGAGTAAAGTTTTCAATTTTTGGCCATTGAGAGTTGTGGGTTTGTGATACATTATATTTAGTATATAAAACACTTTCTATATTCAAGGTTTTTTTTAGTTTTTTATCTGGATATTGGATATTATCAAATGCTCTCTCTGAACTATGGATATGTTAATATAATTTAATATTTATTTGTATAAATCTTGTGTAACACAATAACTTGCATATGTTGAACCATTATTGCATCTTTGGCATAAATCCAACTTGATCATGGTATGAAACCCTTATAATGTGCTGTTTTATTCAGTTCAAAAAATTTTGCTGAGGATCATTACATCTATAGAGGTATTTGTCTATAAATTTAAAAATGGTATCTCTGGTACTGGAACAATAGTGGCACTTGCCTTGCATGAGGCTGGCTTAGGTTTAATCCCTGGCATCTCAAATGGTTTCCCAGAACCACCAGGAGAGATTCCTGGTTGCAGAGACAAGAACAAACCCTCAGCACTGCCAAGTACAACCCAGAAGCAAACAAACAAAAAAAAGTTATCTCTATCTGCTTTTGGTATCAAGGTAATACTGAGCTTACAGAAACTGTTCAGAAGAATTTCTGTTTCTTTGACTTTCTGGAAAAGACTGAAAATAGAAAGTAGATATTCTTAGAAGGTTTGGAAGAATTCACGAGTAAATCTATCAGTGCCTGGGATTTTGTTTTCATGACAAATTTTGACTAGAATTTAAAAATTCATAAATTAATAATCATTCAAGTCTATCAATTATAAGCAACAGAAGGTTGGGTCCAGTTTTCCATTCCATCTCAGCATTCTGCTTTTTTATTGATAAATTCAGACTATTGACATTGATTGAGATTATTGTAATGAAGAGTATTATTGCCATTTTCATAAACTTTGAGTGCTTGTGAAGTTTATCTTTGATTCTGCGACCATTTTAAGTTTTATTCTCTTATATATCTGCCCTTTTTGTGGTGTTCAGGTTCTTCTTAACTGCCTCTTATTTGTTTTTATCTGCTTTTGGGGTCACAGCTAGCGATGCTCAGGGGTTACTCCTGGCTCTGCACTCAGGAATTACTCCTGGCGGTGCTCAGGAGACCATATGGGATGATGGGATTCGAACCCAGGTTGGCAAATGCCCTCCCCGCTGTGCTATTGCTTCAGTCCTTTAACTGCCTCTTTTTAATGTGTCCTTTAAGTATGATTTGCTTGGGTACTAGCACAAGTATTCCTCAGAAGTTCTGAATCTGTATCTGCTCATAAATTCAAAGCAAGAGAGCCTTGTGTGCATTGTATAAGGTTCATGTTATTCCCTTCATTCCCCCGTTTTATGTTTTTAGTATCTACCACTTCCAAGTAGGGTTTCTTAGTATTTAATTTATCTATCTATCTATCTATCTATCTATTTATTTGGGGCCCACAACTGGTGATGCTAAGGACTTATTCCTGGCTCTGCACTCAGTACCTACTCACTGTATTATCTCTCTGTTGTCTCAACATTTTAAAGAAGAGTCTTTAGTGCTTCTTGCAAAGATGGGTTAATATCCCTGTTGCATTTTACTTATTAGTAAGTAATATGGGTGGTTTCTATGAACCCTATACAAATTTTCAATATAAATAAATGGCAGTTGTTTCTTTGTTTTATGTGTTCTCTGTTTTCCAATGTTCTCATAGGAACACTATATTTTTGGATTATGGTAGAATCCCATGATATTAAGTTGAGGAAATAAATATGACTTATGAGAAGCAGAAGAAAAATGGATCATCACAATCTATTTTTTTGGGGTTTTTTCCTTTGTTTTGCCTAGCTTGGCTGACCTTGAAGTTTGTATAAGAAATAGTGAGAGTGGCTTGCTCAAGAAAGTTGAAAAAGGAGATTTCAAAGGATTGGTTGAGATTATGGGACACCTTATGTCTTTGAAAGAACGGCAGACCAGCACTGATGAGATGTTTGACCCATTAAAGCAAACTATTGAATTGCTGAAGACATATGAGCAAGAGTTACCAGAAACAGTGTTTAGGCAGCTGGAGGTCAGTGATGTTCGTGTTTTGTTTATAAAAGATATAAACCAAATGTTTCAGGTTTTCAAAATGAAATATATACCCCAATAGAGTTTCATTAAAATTAAAAACACAAAACCAAGCTCAACTACAAAAATATGTAAAGTGAATTGAAGTAATTGAAAAACAATTTTGTGACAATCTAAATCCTTGTTTTGTAATTATATATGTAGCATACACAATATCTAGCTCATTCTTGAAACTCAAGAAATACAAGGCAATTTAATAATGTTTGAGATAAGTGGGAAAATGAAGTGAGGTTTTGGAGTATTTTGCTTTCAGAATTTTGCACAAACCAATTTAAGCAGGACCAAAAATGTTAAAATGGTCTATGTGGATCATAAAAGCAATAAGCAAGTACTTTTGGAAAATAGAAAAAAAGTACAAAGTTATTGGGTTAAATATTGTGGGTAAGAAGAGTAGCATTGAGTCAGAGTTGCCAGTCATTAACAGAGCAACAGCAAGTCAACAGATATTGCAGAGTATGTGGAAAGAATGCTACTCAAATTATGGTATTGATAAGAGATTTAAAAAACTATTCTGGGTATGTATATTTGACTTTTTTGTATGGAATGAGCACAATGTGATCTGACCACATTGTGGTCTCATTTATAGGAACTGCCTGAGAAATGGAACAACATAAAAAAGATGGCTGTCACGGTGAGGCAACAGGTGGCACCACTGCAAGCAAACGAAGTGACCCTCCTCCGGCAAAAGTGCATAGCCTTTGATGTTGAACAGCAGCAGTTCTTGGAGAAATTCCATGAAGAGGCTCCCTTCAGGTATGAACCGAAGTTGCCATCAATACCTCCTTTTTACCTTGAATATGCAGTGTTTTATTTTCTTATGATTTAATAATTTTTTAAATTTTCTTTCAGCATCATTCACGGCAAATTTATTCAGAGTAGAGTTTCAGACATACAACAGCCCAATACCATTTCGACCACTAGTGTCAACAACCCTGTTCCACGGTTCCCCCCAATCCCCAAACTGCCTTCTGAACAGGAGTATTTTTTTTAAGTTTATTTTTTTATTTTATTTATTTATTTTTAAACTTTTATTAGTGAGACACCATGAGGTACAGTTGTTAGACTTACAAATTTTTGTGCTTGAGTTTCAATTATACAATGATCAAATGCCCATCCCTCCACCAGTGCCCATTTCCCACCACCACGGATCCAAGTATCCCCCTCCCCATTCCCTCCCCCCCCCCCCCCCCCCCGCCCATCTCACCCTGCCTCTGTGGCAGGGCATTCCCTTTTGTTCTCTCTCTCCTTTTGGGTGTTGTGGATTGCAAAAGAGGCATTGAGTGGCAATCATGTTTGGTCTATAGTCTACTTTCAGCATGCTTTTCCCATCCTAGGAGGATCCTCCCAACACCCTTTATTTGGTGCTCCCTTCTCTATCTGAGCTCCCTTTTCCCCTAGCATGTATAACTGGCCTCCAAGCCATGGAGCAAAATTCTGAACAGGAGCATTTTTAAGATTAATTATTGTAGTTTGTATAACATGCTTACAGTATTGATGGCTTTGGTTTAGATATCTATATATACCACACTGGAGTGCCTGTGTTAAATCTATCTGTTACCCTTGTCCAACTATCCTTAACTTGCCCTTCATTGCTTCTTCCCTACTCATCTTTTCCCTTCTATAGTCTAGGATCAATAGCTTTCCCACCCACCATTGGTACCTTGCATTCCCTTGTAATGTTATTCTGTATACCACAGAAAAGAAAGAGATCGAAACGACCTTCTTCTGACTTACTTCACTTTCCATCGCATTGGATGTTTTTTTTCTTCCCCCAAAAGCTGAATACATATTCTTCACCAGTGCATGTGGGACATTCTCCAAGATTCACCATATTCTGGGCCACAAAATATACCTATAAAATTAAAAAAATTGATAACTATAATTTCAGACCTTGATAAACTGAAAATAAAAAAGAACCACATGCAGAAACAGAGAATCAAATAAACACCTAAAAATTAACAGCTGCTAATGAACAACCAGTGACTTAGAGAGAAAAATTAAAGGAGAAATCAAAAGATTCCTGGAAACAAATGAAAATGAGAACAGATCTACCAGAAGTTGTGGGTGAAACACGGCAAAAGCAATGTTAAGAAGAAAATGTATAGATCTGTGAGCATAGATCAGGAAGGGACAAAGCACCCACAAAAAAACTTAACTTCACAGTTAAAATCTTGGAAAATTACCAACAAAGGTAACACAAACCAGAGTGAAGGAAGGAAACAATAGAACTCAGAGCAGAGATAAACAAGCTGGAATCTCAAAAACTAGCCAAAAGATCAACAAAACTATAGCTGAATGTTTAAGAAAATACATAAAATTGATAAACTACTAGCAAAACTCACAAAGAAACAGAGAGAGAGTGAACCCTAATAAACCTAATCAGAAATGCGAAGAGGGGCATCACAACTGAAACTATAGAAAGCCATAGGATCATCAGAGATAAATTTGAGACTTTTATTTTAATTTTTTAATGAATCACTGTGAGATGGAGTTACAAAGCTTACATGTTTGATTTCAGTCATACAATGATTAAACACCCATCCCTCAATCAGTGTACATTCTCAACCACCAATGTCCCCAGCATATCCCCCTTTCCAGTACTCCCTCTGCCTCTATGGCAGACAATTTCCCACCCACCATTAGAACATGCAATACAGACACTGAGAGGTTATCATGTTTGGTCCTTTATCTACTTTCAGCACTCATCTCCCATCTGGAACGATCCCTCCAACCATCAAAGACTTAGTGATCCCTTCTCTATTCCAGCTGCCTTCTTCCCCAGATCATGAGGCAGGCTTCAAACCATGCAGCAATATTTCTGACCCTTGTCTCTATTGTCCTTGGGTGTTAGTCTCCCATTCTGTTATTTGATATTCCACAAATGAGTGCAGTCATTTTATGGCTGTCCCTCTCTTTCTGACTCACTTCACTTAGCATGATATTCTCCATGACCATCCACTTAATAAGCAAATTTCATTACTTCATCTTTCCTAACAGCTGCAGAGTTTTCCATTGTGTAGATGCACCAAAATTTCTTCAACCAGTCGTCTGTTCTTGGGCACTTGGGTTGTTTCCAGATTCTGGCTATTGTGAACAGTGCTGCAATGAACATACAGGTGCAGATGTCATTTCTATTGTGTGTTTTTTTGTAACTCCTGGATATATTACTAGAAGTGGTATTACAAAGTCATATGGAAGCTCAATTTCTAGTTTATGAAGGACTGCTCAGATTGCTTTCCAAAAAGCCTGGACCGGTTGGCTTTCCCACCAACAATGAAAAAAATTGTACTTTTCTCCCCATATTCGTGTCCAAACTGCTGGTTCTTTCTTTTTTTTAATGTGTGCCAGTTTCTGTGGTGTGAGTTGATATCTCACTGTTGTTATGATTTGCATCTTCCTGATGATTAGTGATCTAGAGCATTTTATCATATGCCTTTTGGACATTTGTCTTTTTTTTCTAAGGTATCTTCTGTTCATTTCTTCTCCCTATGTTTTGATGGGTTTGGAGGTTTTTTCCTTGTACAGTTCTATTAGTGTCTTGTATATCCTGGTTACCCTTATCAGATGGGTGGTGGGTAAATATTCTTTCCCATTCCATAGGTTCTCTCTGTATTTTGTTCACTGTTTCTTTTTCTTTTTTTCTTAAATTTTATTGAATCACCATGAGATAGTTACAAGCTTTCATGTTTGGGTTATGGTCACACAAAGATCAAACACCCATCTCTCCACCAGTGCACATTCCTCACCACCAATCTCCCCAGTATACCCCCTCTTCCCCACCCTCCCCCTGCCTCCATGGCAGACAATATTTCCCATACTCTCTCTCTACTTTGGGGCATTATGGTTTGCAATACAGACACTGAGCTGGAAGCCTGCCTCATGAGCTGGAGGAGAAGGCAGATGGAACAGGGAAGGGATCACTAAGAAAATGATGGCTGGAGGAATCAGTTGGGATGGGAGATGGGTCACTGTTTCTTTTTAGTGGTGAAGAAGCTTCTTAGTTTGATGTAGTCCCATTTGTTTGTATTTGTTTCACTTGTTTGACCAGTGGTTTCATCCTTAAAGGTGCTTTTTAGCTCCAATGTCATGGAGAGTTCTGCCTACATTTTCCTCTATGTTCCTTATGTATTCAGGTATGATATTGAGTTCTTTAATCCACTTTGGTCTGAATTTTGTGCATGGGGTTAGACAGAGTTCAGAGTTCATTATTTTTGCAGGTAGCTGTCCAGTTTTCCCAGCACCACTTGTTGAAGAGGCTTTCCTTGTTCCATTTCACATTTCTTGCTCCTTTGTCAAATATTTAAATGATTATATATTTGAGAGTCTGTGACAGAATATTCAACTCTGTTCTACTGATTTGCATGTCTGTTTCTATATCAATGCCATTCTGTTTTAATTACTACTGCTTCGTAGTATAGTTTGAATTTGGGAAAGATGATGTGATTACCGTTTCAATTTCCTCAATGGTGATAGGTCTGTTCAGGTACTCCAAGTCTTCTTGGTTCAGACTCGGAGGCTATCGGAATCCAGGAATTTATCCATTTTTTCAAGGATTTCTTGTTTATGGCATAAGGAAGAATCCTTATGATTCTTATACTTTCTTATACTTTCTTATTCTTATACTTCTTCCAAAGTAATCTCTGATGATCCTTTGAATTTCTGTAGGTTCTGTTGTGATGTCCCCATTTTTTTTATAATCACACATGCTGTGTTTTATTTAAATTAGTCATCTATAAAATGGAGATATTTGGTGTCAGGAAGCATACAGCAACTAGGATGAACACTCAGTATGAATAATCCAGGTTCTATTTCCAATGCTACATAGTTCCCCAAACATCACTGAGGCAGTCCCGGAGGCACCAGCACTACCAGGGTGGCCTGGGTATCCCCAGCACAGCAGGGTACAAGCAACATCAGTGATGTCCCCATTTTCATTTCTGATTTGGCTTATCAGGGCTTTCTCTTCCCTTTATTTATGAGTCTTGCTAGATGTTTATCGATCCTGTTTATTTTCTCAAAGAACAAGCTCTTGGTTGCATTGGTCTTTTGGATTGCTTTTTTGGAAAACCATCTCATTAATTTCTACTCTAACTTTTATTATTTTCTTTCTCACGCCAGGGTTGGGCTCCTTCTTTTGGTCATTCTCCAAGATCTTAAGCTGTGAGGTTAGGTTCTTTATGTGGGCTCACCCTTTCTTCCTGAGGAATGCTTGTTGAGCTATAAATTTCCCCCTTAACACAGCTTTTGCCACGACCCACAAGTTCTGGTAACTCGTGTCTTCATTCTCATTTGTTTCCAGAAATCTTTTGATTTCCTCTCCAAACCATTCATTGTTCAGTAGTGAACTGTTTAATTTATAGGTGTTTAATTTGATTTTCTGTTTTTGTTTGTGATTCACTTCTATTTTCAGCACATAATAGTTTGAAAAGATCGTTGATACAATCTCTATCTTCTGAATTTTATGGAGGCATGTTTTATGGCTCAGCATGTGGTCTATCTTGGAGAATGTCCCATGCACACTTGAGATTAGTGTGTATTCAACTTTTTGCGGATAATGTATCCTGTATAAATCTACTAAGCCCCTTTTTTCCAATTCTTCTCTCAGATAAAATATGTCCTTGGTAAGCTTGAGTCTAGTTGATCTATTAAGAGGTGTTAAAGCAGTGTTGAAATCTCCCACTAGTATTGTGCTGCTATTGATGTCTTTCTTCAAGTGTATGAGCAGGTTTTTTTTAAGTATTTTGCTGATCCCT